ACACACACACACACACACACACACACACACACACCAGGGTCAGCTCTAGTGTGCTGCCCAGGCGGGGTCCTGCTCAAATCTTTTATCTTAACTCCACATATAACTTCAACTCTTAGAGATTTAGAAAACAACTTTGAACTATAGTAACCTTTTGAATTTACTTAGAAAATTTTAAATCTCTTAACTATGTTTTTAAAACCAAAACAACAAAAATATCCATTTTATTTAAGAACACTCAAAAGCTGATGTCTAAGATGGCATGTGCTCATGGCAGTTACAGTCTAACATTCTAACATGGAATTAAGACATGTGGTTCAAGAAAAAATATTTTCCTTTCATGCCAGTAAGGCAAGTGTGCCTTTAGTAAATTATCATTTGAAAATATTGTTATTTCTATTTTTATTTTTTCATGCCTGTTCAAATGAAAAGCATATGTTGGTCTTTATAAGTTAACTTGGACTGAATGACCAAACTGTCTGATAAACTATCACCTCTCCTTATTCAGGAGGTCTCTCCTGTCTGAATCTAATCTTTATCAATATAGATGGTATTTACAGCTTTTCTTCTCCTTTGGAAACAAGGCAAAATCTTCCCTAATGTAACACACATATCCAGGTTTCCATTCTGAGGTCAACACATCTTTAAAATATACATATGCATACCGTATGAAATGACTACTTCCTTAAATCTCCTCAAATCCAGTATTTCTATAGGATTCCATTTAACTTCTAACCTTGGGGATATCTGCTGGTAGTTCTTGTATAGTAACTGGATAAGCTAAGGTTGGTTTTCTCACAACCTTGTCCCACCCCTCTTCAGTTTCACCATGTGATGGCATGGTAGGTTCTTGTCTAAATTCCTCCACGTCTGAGCATTTTTCTTATTTTCATTTATAAGTCTTCTAAGGCTTGTATCTTATCACTCTACTTTTCATATTTGGCATAATTATCAAACCAATTTTCATATTTGGCACAAAAACAATATGGCTATTAAGGATAAAATATTAATTTACAGACTGATAGTAATTATAATTGGTACTATGTCAATCTCAGTTAACTCATTTATCTTTTCATTTTATGCTTCTATTCTTTTTTTTTTTTTTTTTTTTTTGATTTTTTGAGACAGGGTTTCTCTGTGTAGCTTTGTGCCTTTCCTGGAACTCACTTTGGAGACCAGGCTGGCCTCGAACTCACAAGAGATCTGCCTGGCTCTGCCTCCCGAGTGCTGGGATTAAAGGCATGCGCCACCACTGCCCAGCCTTCTGCTTCTATTCTTAAGCCATCTAAAGTAGCACTGTATAGGATCCTAAAGCCCCATATTATATTTTCTATCCTTAACATGGGGGAAATTTTTCCTTTTAATATTACTTAAATTCTCTCCTTGAGACCTTCCCAGGTGTCTTACCAAATCTGATGGCTTCTCAGTTTGTCCACAGCTGGCATAATTTCTCTGTCCTTGTGGTTGTGCCCCACATTGGGTGCCAAATGTTGGTTTTAATAAAATCTTTTTTTTGTTGTTGTTTTTTTTTTTGAGACAGGGTTTCTCTGTGTAGCTTTGCGCCTTTCCTGGGACTCACTTGGTAGTCCAGGCTGGCCTCGAACTCACAGAGATTAATAAAATCTTAATCGTTTGATTTTATCAATAAGGACACAGGAGCCAGATGCTGGGGTGAAAGCCTGCTGGCTCAGAGAGAGGCAGAGAAAGCACTCAGCTGACCTTTCTCCTCAGCTGACATCCCAGAAGACTCCCCCTTCTCCTATGCCTCCTCAAATAAGACTCCTCAAACTGAATGTCCCTCCTTTCTACTTCCTATGTGTCTCTCTATCCATCCTCCTGACTCCCTCTTACCCTCTATGTTTTTTTTCATGATAATCCTATATTCACTTCCTGTCAACTGCTCCACCTCTTGACCTATGGTTGACTTTATTTAATCCTGTTTATAACATTCAAGCAGAAAACTTTTGGGTTAAAAGTGTGTGCTAGGGGGCTGAAGAGATGGCTCAGTGGTTAAGAGTGCTAGGGGGCTGAAGAGATGGCTCAGGGGTTAAGAGCTGGGATGCTCTTCCAGAGGACCTGGGTTCAATTCCCAGAACACACATGGCAGCTCACACCTGTCTGTAGTTCCAGTTCCAAGGGACCTGACACCTGTGGCAAAACACCAATACACATGAAACAAAAATAAATAAATTTAAAAAAAAAGGTGTGTGCTAGGGCTGAGCCACACCACAACTAGAAACAGGTTTTTCTAGTAAATCATGAAATCTCCAGGTTTGAAGTATGATCAAATATCCTGCAATATTATATTTTTATTATTTAAAACACTTTAAATTTAAATATATTTTGATCATATTCTTCTCCTCCCCCAAGTCCTTCTAGATCCTTTCCCTAGCTTCCCAAGTAGTAGTTTCTTAAAAATCTGAACAAAAACACAATACAAAAACCTTTAAAACCAAGAAAATAAAACAACATCAAAAAAGAAAAATAAAACACCAAACTCTAACCAAATAAAAACAACTCTTAAAGAATGTATGCACAGTAATTACTTATGTGGGTCAGATAAAAGGTATTTAAACAAAGAGCAACAGAGATTATAAAACTCACATGTCTTCTTCTGTCCATTGTCTCATAGTAAATATTGACAAATTCCTCAGCAGCTCTGCATGCCTGATCCACATAAGTTCTAAAATCCTACAAGAAAATTTTCACAAAGGTAAATCATAGTCCCACCAATCCTCCACAACACAACATATGCAACAGAAGTTATCAATTTATATTCATCACTATAAAGCTGCATGGGAAATCCACTATCACATAAATTTGAGTATTTTAAAGGTCAAGGCACAAATGTTTTCAGCTTTAAAAGCAAACTGCTGCTGGTTTAAGGTCTATGTCTTTAGAACATGTTCATCTTCCCCTTTTCACTCTTCACATATAATTCTGGGATCTTTGCTTGACAACTAAGTAAAGAATACCTCAGTATTTTACAAAACATTCACCCACAAAAGGACACCATTGAAACAGTAACTTGGGGGTGAGTGGTGGGTGTAGGTGTAGACAAGTTGTGAGGGGTGGATAGTCACTGAGTAGGTGCTGAGTTTCAACTTATGACCAAGCTCAAAAATTATTGAGCTTTCTAAAAACGGTTAAGAAAATTCTAAATGGCCTCACTCAGAAACTTTTCTTACATTATATAAACATTCACTACTGTTTGTAAATGGATTCCAAAATCCAAGAAACGAATCTCCTCAGAGTGTTCTTGCAAGATCCCTGATTAAGTAACTTTGCCACCACCCTTTTACTGAGAAAGTCCTTTTCCTTTGAACAAATATAATCGCCATTCTTTGTGAGTGATCAGGAGATTCTGATTTTTAAAGCGCCAATGCAAAGGCCGTCACTGTAAGCCATAAATGACTGAGCCCCCATCCACCCATGGTTGCTTTCCTCCCACCTATCATCTTTTCTAGGATGGTGGGGGAGCAGGGAGCAAGCCCTGCCCCAAGGGCTGGCAAGCCAGAACCTGATTCCTCACTTGCTCAAGTGTCCAGGCTGTGCTCTAGCCTCCCCTCCCCTCTGTGGCCCAGGCCCAAGCTCCTCAGCACCCCATGGTGGCATGCACTCACCACAGCCATGGCCATGGGGGAGCTTGAAACTCTTTTATCCTTGCGCTCCATGATTGGAGGTGTCACTACCTCTCCACGAGAATGGCTCCTTTGGCTGCGGAAGGATGAAATGTTTAGCAAGAAAATGAAAGGCAGAAAAGGCACAGATTTTTCAACCTGCCCATTGTATCCCGGTGTTAAAATCACCCCATGTTGCAATTTTAAGCAGCAGTTCCCTTCAGTTCCAACTGATTCTGTCCATCTGTTTTAATTACTTGCAAACTGTTTATTAGCATAAAAGAGAGAAAAAAAGAAAAACCAACCAACAACAACAAAAAAACAACAAAACAACACAAAACACCCCCCCCTTAAAAAAAACACCCTGTTCTTGTAATCTTAACACAGAAAACAAACACATCTCAATTTTCCATTGCGTACTTGCCCTGGCACAGGTTAAAAGTAAAGGGCCCGATTACCAGGATGGCTTTATTCCAGGAGGCGGGGCCAAAACTGGAGAGCCAATGAGAAACGGGAAAACCTAGATTAGTAACCAATAGGAAACGGGGGCAGAACTTGAGGAACGGCCCAGAAAACCGCCTACTGCACGAGAGGCTGAAAACCATTTAAAGTTCTAGAACATTCTCTACTTGAGTCTCTGCTACTAACGTCTTAGTTGGATACCTAAAAATTTTCCACTGTTTAAAATACAAATATTTTACTGATTTCCTCCACACTGAGGGGATTAAATGTCAAGCACCTCCCCCAAAACGCCAAAAAACCCCCCACCCCAAAACCAAAAAAAAACCCAAAACCCAACATCCTATGGTTTATGGTGTACAGCTTATTCAGCACAGCCTTATCAGAAACAGTTTAGTAATGACTACAAGCATTTTTTTATCTATATTCAATTATTTAAGGCAACTGTGAGGTAAATGTTATTTTATCATCACATTATTAAAACAAACCGACCAACAAACAGGATTACGAAGTGACTAAGATTTAAGCTTAAGTAATGAAAATGCCGGGTCAAACTGGCTTCAGTACCCTGGCACCATTTCTTAAAAACGGTTAATCCCAAAGCGGCCATGACAGACTTCTAAGTTCGAATCAAATATTTCTATAAACTTACTATCTGTAGCTTGTTTGTGGATCCTGAGAGGAACAGCCAGATCTTCCATAACGTTTGCCCTCATAGGACCAGTTATTACTGTATTTTTTCATATTTTTATTCTCTGCTGAGCACTCACGACCGCACCCACAGCAACCGCCTTCTCTTCTGACTGCGCGCGACTCAGCTTCAGTCACTTCCGGTTTGCCTGCTATGATGCTTACTGCCTTTATTTTATTACTTCCGGGGCAGCTACTCCCACGTGATGCTCCACTGTTCTTCATATACTAGTAAGTCACAGTTTTGTAACTTCTGCTCTACAGTTATGGAGCTGAAATTATACACATGGAATCTTACTAATAGTGAAAATGAGACTGTTCTGCATGCTTCTCATGTTTCTCGGACTCTCAAGTCCAAAATTTAAACTAATTTTTGTACAGTTTATTTCTAATCTATATTTTCTTAGTCAGCTATGCATGAATCTGTATTATTTAATTATTGATTTTTGGTTCTCTTCTTATTGTTCCTTGCTGCAACAAGTATTTATAATCATTTACTGTGCTCTGGGCATCGTGGAACGTGCTCTCTGCCAAGCAGTGAACGTAGTGGACACAATATCTTTATAAAGCTGACGGACAAACAAGAGCGGCAAACAATCAAGTAAGTATTAATACATTTTAAAGGAATTCCAAGTAATGAATTCTGAGTAGCTAGTTTTGGCCAATCTCTAAAACATTTTCTACTTCATCTTCTTTCTCTCTGCGTTATTAACCTCTCTTCCTTTTTCCCTCTCCCCCTCCACCAGCTCCCTTGACTTTTACCTCCTCTAAGTTTAGTTATGCATACAGTGCAGAACACCAGAAGATGGCACTAGATCTCATTACAGATGGTTGTGAGCCACCACGTGGTTGCTGGGAATTGAACTCAGGACCTCTGGAAGAGCAGCCAGTGCTCTTAACCTCTGAGCCATCTTGCCAGCTCCCTCCTCTAAGTTTAGTAACTCTATCCCCACACCCGCAGTTCTCCTAATATTTAAAGCCTACCTTGATGTGGTTTTATTTTTCCCAGAGTTCTCTCCCAAATTTAAGAAAGGCTAGTAAACTATGTTTTTCCACAAAATGACTCCTGTTCATTATTATATTGGTGTTGGCTTTTCTTGAATGAGGGAAGGTATTTTATATGATTTCATTCAATCCTCACAAAACACAGAGAGGTAGATATTAATATGACCCATATTTTTAAGAATTTGAGATGAAGCTCAAAGAGAAAAAAAAAAAACAAAAACCTTTGCTAAGATGATACGGCTCTGGGCTGGAGAAATGGCTCAGTAGTTAAGAACACTTGTTGCTCTTGCAGGGGACCTGGGTTCAGTTCCTAGCACCCATATTAATCAACTTGCAACTGTCTATAACTCTAGTCCCAGGAAATCAGACATCTTCTGGCTTTTTCTGGCACCAGTACGCATGTGGTAAGTCTTCATACATTCAGGCACATTCACATACATACAAACATTTTAAAACAAGCTGACAGTGAGTGGGCCCAGAATTTTAGACCCAAACTGTCTGATCAACACACTGTGCTGTTTGTTTATTCATTCACTTATATATCATTATTTCTTCTTCTTTTTGATTTGTTTACTCCATTTCTACCTGTCCTTCAGGTAACTGGGCAAGTAAAAGATCACTTTTGTGAAGCTTTCCCTCATTGCATTTTTCTAGAAACATAGTGTATAGGATGCTACTCTTAGGACTGTAGATGTGGCTACTGGGATGGACAATAATGCTAAAGGAGTAGAGAAGAGCTGGGACTTGTGAAAGGGATACTTGAGTTAGAAGAGGAATGAAAACTCAGAGTTTCACACTGATTGTTCTTGCACATCATTTTGTCTTATGATAGGAGAATGGCTACACTGAGGTGTCACAAAAGTGTGAGGCTGGGTAAAATGATGGCATAGAAATAAATAGTGGGCTCTGATTGTTGAAGGTTTGAACTGAAAATATTTGAAAAACCCATTGGACGTGTGTTGGGGCGGGGAGGACAAGAAAACAACTAGTAGGAAAGAAAACAATGGGTGGGAAATGAGGTTCATCTTCACTAGATAACAGTGCAATTGTTAAAAGTATGAAGAGTGACTAGGAGCTGTATTAAAGGACTTCTTATAAATAAAAATAGCATTGTGATTAAACACACTATTTTTTTTCCATCAGTCTGAGTTCAGTTTCTAACCATGCTGCTGACTAGCTCTCTGACTTTGAAGAAATTACCTAGGCATTATAAAACTCAGTCTTTCAACCTGTAAAATGGAAATAATATTAGTATATATTTCAAAGCATTGCTGGGGTAGACAAAATGGCTTATTGGAAAAGGAGCCTGGCACCAAAACTGATGAACTTCAGTTCAGTCCCCAGGATGCACATGGTAGAAGGAGAGAATGAACTCCTACAAGTTATCATCTGACCTCCACATTCTCATCATGGCATGCATCTCCCTCTACCCCCATACAGATAATTATACATAAGTAAGTGTATTTTGAAAAGCCCATTGTTGTGAGAATCAAATGAGTCACTCAGAATCCCACGTGTTCTGTTTGAAAAATACATTTTCCTTTACATATCAGAGATTAGACAGCCCAAACTCTGATAAAATGACGTTGGGAGAGATTAGATAATCTGAGAGGTAGGGAGCAGCATCAGTACACTACAGGAGAGAGTTGGGAACTGTGGCAAAACAGACTGTAGGAGCAATAGTTGGGATGGGTTAGGATTCCTTCTGGCTGTATTGTACAACAAGTTCTTCTATAGTGTAGATCTAGGGGAATTAAGGTTCTTGGTAGTTACCACAATCTTTCCTTGAATCTTTCTCTTGCATCAGATTTGAGCAGTAAAAATCTAGAAAATGGGGTGGTCTGAATAGTCAGTCACTTGCTCTCAGGTCTCTAATTGGAAAGCATCTTATTCATACTGAACAGTGTTCTGAAATACTTTGATTTAGACATACTTTATATACAATGTGAGCTACTCATTTAGAGCATATACTTCCAAGAGCTTTCATACAGTCACAGATTTATTCAAGCATTATTATAAATATGTTTCCCTTTATCAGCTGATTATTATTCACCCTTTCAATGCAGCTCTTGGCAAACACTAATATTCTGCCTCACTCTAGGCATATACCTATTCTGTACATTTCATGGAAGTGGAATTGTACAAATTATCTTTGTACAATTTGTACAATGTACAATTGTACAAAAGTTTGGTATCTTTCACTAAGAATATTTTTGAGGTTTGACCATTTTATAGCACATGTCAAGACATCATTCCTTTCAATTTGGAGAATAACATTCCACTATACATACACAACACATTTTATCTATGTATTCATCCATTGATACTTATTTGAGTAGCTTTCTCATGTTGGCCATTTTAAATAATGCTTCTTTGAATATTCTTATTAATTATTATGTGGGCACATTTCAGATACCATATAGTGGAATTGCTGAACCATATGGTAACATACTTAATATGTTAAGAAACTACTAGCTTGATTTCCATAGTTGCCTGCATTTTATATTCCATCCCAGCATATATAAGAGTTTCCAGTTTTCTATGTATTCCCCAATACTTTTGTCTTTTGAAGTACAGCCATCCTAGTGAATATGAACTAATAGTTATATAATGCTCCAATAACTATGGGAGTATAAGTAACTTTAAAGAGTGGTGTTTTCATTGCCTGTTGATATATAACAGCATTCACAGTAGCCATGATATGAAATCATAGGTATCCACAAATGAAAGAATGGATAAACTGTGATATGTGCATATGTGTGGACATAATGGAATATTATTCAGTCTTAAGAAGGAGAAAAAAAACTTTGTGAAAAAATACTATGGTATCTGTCTTAGTCACTGTTCTGTTGCTGTGAAGAAACACCATGACAATATCAACCCTTATAAGAGAAAGTATTTAATTGAGGATTTAATTAATTGAATTTAATTAATTGCTTACAATTTCAGAGGATTAGTCTATTATGATCATGGTGGGAACATGGCAGCAGAACATGCTGCAGAAGTAGTTGAGAGCTACATCCTGATCTCTGGCAGGGGAGGAAGGGGCAGGCAGGCAGGCAGGCAGTGGGCAGGCAGAGACTGGTCTTGGAAAGGACTTTTGAAGCCTCTAAGCCGAGTGACACACTTACTCCAACAAGGCTACATCTCCTAGTCTTTCTAATTCTTTCAAATAGTGTCCTTTTCTGGTGACTAAGCATTCAAATATATGGACCTATAGGATCCATGTTTATTCAAACCAACACAGTATCTAATAACATATATAGTCATTAAAAATATTTTTTTTAAAAGAAAGAGATCATGCCATTTGACAAAATATGAATGATAAGTAAAATAAGCCAGACATAGAAAGAAAAATACTGTGTGATCTCTTTTACATGTCAAATCTAAAAATTGTCATATGCAGAGACTAAAACTGATTATTGGGAGCAAATAGGGGAAGGAATGGGGAGATGCAGGTCAAAGGACACAAAGTAGCAGAGCTAGCACACAACACAGGTTCCTAGTTAGTCGTAGTACATTGTATTCAGGAATTGGGGAAATGAATAGATTGCAGATGATTTTGTTATAGAAGGAAATTGGGGAACTGTGAGATGAGTAGTATAGTGTCTACTTTAAATAGACACAATGAAATTTATATTTAAAATATTCTCTAGTAATCATCCATTTCTTATTTGTATACTCATTTTTTTAGATTTGATATTCCTGTGAAGAATATGTTATAATTTTCACATATTTAACACCCTAACCAGTGACACTCAATTAAAATCTTATAGAGTATGTGGTTGAACCCAAGTGACCAAATAAAATTTCTTCCCTTTGTAAATCTCCCTACATCCCCATTCTGAATCCATTCTGAAAGAAGTGAAGGTGTGAATTAATTTCCTGTAAAGGGAATTATTTTTTCCTGTGACACAGAAGTGAGAGCATAATCCATTTTCACCTCATTACATTTCAATTGCCTCCTCTATGGGGCATTCACAAGTCTTATCTTCAAGGGAGAACAATTCTTTCAACTCCCTGCTGGAAACTTTGCCTTCAATTAATTATTTTCAGAATAAAAACATGTAATAAGGCTTTTGTATTGGTTGAGTTCTCTGATATCAGGA